AGTAGGTTTCTCAGATGCAACTTCCAAATTCCGAGGCCGTAATCCAAAGCTAGTAATCTGAGATACTCTTTGATCAGGAGCTCCATCATCAAGTATCTTATAAGAAATTTCATACTGTTGTTTTCAATGTAAGAACAAAGGGGAAGAACCCCTCATAAATTTCTTTGAACTGAGATCTGCCATCCTTCTTCTAGGTAAGTCTTCCACCGGTCCCAATGATTGTAATCCTTTGGACAGTTTATATTTAGACCCGAAAGAATAACCCTCCTTAATAGTTGTCGTTTTCCCCTTCACTAACACAGCCTTTTTAAATATCAAATTTAGAAGGAAGAGTAACAAATTCTGGTACAACAGCAGGAAAAGTTGCACTTAATCCTCCCATTCTGTCTAAAAGAGCTTCCATTCCATCATTTTTCACGGTATTAACTGAAGGATAAGCTTATTTTGGTTCAGCAGTAGATTCTGACTCAGCAAAAGAAACGGCATCCTCTTCTCCTTCCAGAATTCGTGCCACTTTGAATTCAATTTTGGAATTTTGAACAGATTCAGGAAATTGGATTGCTTGATCAGCAATCAAACCATCAGAATTATCCCGGCGATTTACTACTGAAGACCAATCAATCGGAGCTTTATCCATAATTTGAACATTCTGAAAATCTGCATCCTCAATTAAACTTTTATCAGTCTGTCAACAACTTCAACATTCTAAAAATCTACATCCTCAATGGTAGTTTGTTTCTTGGCATGACTTTTAATATATAATAATTTATTAATTCATTAAAATTTTTTCATTCTAAATTATTTATTAGAAAAATAATAAAATATATTAACATTTAAACATTTAATTAAAAAAAATTGATGATCTCTCCTCTTCAATCCAACAAGTTTTAAAAAAAAAAATTCTCTCTCCTGCTTTATCTCTCTCTTTGCCTCTCAGAAGAACAACAAAAATAGAATAAAAGTTCTCTCTCCTCTAGCCGGTTGAAAAGTTGTTTTTTAAAACATTATTTACTTAATTTAATTTATAACATTAATTACATTAATAGTTTGTCCCATTGAATGTCGATTTATCTCTCTTTCTTTTTCTTAAGAAAATGAAATGTTTCGTATGAATAAATCAATATACATATCTCTTATTGGTCTATGTGTATGAATTTGACTTAAATGATCTAAATATAAAAAAAAAACTAATATAATATATGCGGTCACTAAAGGTCGGCATCTGGACTTTTCTATGGACTTATTAGCTAGCCATATGGGAACTTTTATTACGTCCTCTGATCGGACATAGCTCTACGTTTGGTCAGAGGATTGTTACTCGGTTTTTGCTCAGTATTTGGTCGGTATTGCTAGGTATTGTTTTGTAATAACGAGGAATACCGCTCTGTGAAGATCAATACCGAGTAATACCGAGCAATACCGAGTAATCCCAAAAAATACCGAGTTTTTTTCTAGAAAAACACGGTATTTTTTGGGATTACTCGGTATTAATCAATATTTTGTCTTTATATAATGGTATTTCTCGTTATTGTTGGTATTGCTCGGTATTTCTCGTTTTGTGCATGCGATCTTAGTGCCGGCCGAACGTAGCTCTACGTACGTTCACCGGACCAAATAAAAGTTTGCCATATGGGCCCCTTAATCATGATTTTCTTTTTAATTTATAGTTTAAGGTTTAAACTTCAATTCACGCCTAATAGAAAACGCTAAATTTTGTTGGGGTCGGTTTTAGATAAATTAGGAATGGAGTTTATTTAGGGTGATTGCAATTTATGAAAAAGGAAATACTAAAATTATTATGAGATTTTTTTTTTTGAAATTATTGTAATTAATTAACTATTAAAATATTTTTTAAAATAAAATAGATAATAGTATTTTAGCAGTAACAAATTAAAATAAAAAAAAATGTAAGAAAGAAAAGACGGCCGTACGTAAAAATAGCATGTACGAAGTTATTAAAAACACACTGGCCTCAACCATCTTATTGTTTTTTCAGTACGTACGAATGAACATATTAATAATGAGTACAGAAATTGTCGTCACACAACTCTCCTGGGCCTATTGGTTAAGAGCTAAGGCTTCCAACTAAAAGGTCTAAGATTCGAGTCTCTGTGTATGTGTTGTGGGTGTGAGTTTGCCTTTCTAGCAAATTTTGTTGCACAAATAAATTTCTTATCACAGAAATATCAGAAAACCAACAATAAAAGTTAATATGGATTATGGACAGAGAAGTGTGACAATGATTTTAAAATGCAAAACAAAAAGGCTCTCCCAAATAAACCTTTGGGCAGCTTTTCATAACTTTTTTTAATTACGAAAATAACCTAATTTATTATTTGGTTATACTCGTTTTTTTTTTATTTATAAGAAGTTTTTGATAAAAATATTTTTTATAATCCAATATTTTAAAATAAAACAGCCCTAAGAAATTTGATATATAATTTTATTAAAAAAGTTCATAACAACACAACAAACTTAATAATTTCTTTTATTTTGTCTTAATAATATTGAAACTATTTTTAGAGATAGTTATGATTCCTCAAATAAATTTTAAATTTATAATTTCAAAATATTGTCAAAAGTCATAGAGATCACCAAAACCGTCAAAACCATCAACATGGGACGGCTTTCTTACTGCTTCTTAAAGAAGCTTTCTTGTATAAAAATTAAAAACAAATCAAACAAAGCCTAAATCATCGCAATATAACAACATTTATAAGAGGCACTAGAGTTTTTACGTGGAAATCCCTGAAAAAGGGGAAAAATCACGGGCCTGACCCAGTTTGATTGAATCTACTAGTCTTTGCAATTGATTACAAATGAGGCATTTCCTTGGGAGAAGGCATTGTCTTGATGCCATAAATGTACATCATATAGAGCATATTACATGGTGGAAGTTACAATAATCAACGTAAACATATTTGTTTGGTTGGAAGTATCATATATAGTCGATAGAGAAGAAGTTGGAAAGATCGTAGTAGGTGACGAAAGTTGGAAGGATTGTAATCGGCAAAAGATTGGGGTCAAAAAGACCACAGGTTGTGAGAGAGGTCACCGTAGTAGGCGACAGAGGTCGAAAGGACTGTAGTTGGCAGGAAACTAGGGTTAGAATGACCGTTGTCTGATGAGGGAGGTCAGAATGACCGTAGTCAGCAAGAGACTAGGGTCAGAAAGATCATTGTCTAGCGAGGGATGTCAGAAGATTAGTAGTCAGCAGGAGACTGGGGTCAGAAAGACCGTTGTTTAGCGAGGGAGGTTGGAAGGACCGTAGTTGGCAAGAGACTGTGGTCAGAAAGATCATTTTCTAGCAAGGGAGGTCGCAAGGACCGTAGTGGGCGACGAAGGTCGGAAGGACTGTGGTCAACAATAGAGCGTATTACATGATGTATTTCTTGTCCTCATATTATAAGAGACATAAATTAGAATCTTCTCATAATTCATAGCTATTATTAAGAGACCCTGCATATAAAATGCATGATGTTTCTCTGAAGACTGACATTAAAGTTGCTTGGTTATTGGTGATGAAGTAGTTGAATATTATTTTCTGTGCATATCAATCATTAAAATAATTTCATGACAAGTAGGTTATGTCCATGACACTTAGCTTGATACCATCCTTCTTTATTAGTGTCCCTAAATTATTGATTGGAAATATCCATCATTACAAATCAATGTAAATTGACATAAGCCACAATATAAAATGGCAATGAAAATAAAAAAAATATAAGTGGATTATATTGAGTGAAGGAAAAATTAGCAAATTTTTCAAAAGATGACCCTCTTTTCAGGACACTACTATGAGCAATCCCCTTCAAAGTTCAAGATCTTACTATAATATATTTAACTTCGAGCAACTCCTCTACTTTTGATCCAACCTCATCTTTGAAAATTAGCCCATTCTCATCAGGAATGAAACTTAAAACTATCCTTCAAACATTTGTTATATAACTTCATGAGTTAAATAATTGGTCAGCAAATTAAGGCCAACAAAGGAAATGCATTCCATTTCTCACTTCTATAGTTGAGTTCCAACCACAATGTGATATTAAACAAATAATTGCAGGATTCTTTAAAGCTTTTTGTTGATGAGACCAGTCTACTATTCTCCCTCGATTACAACTCTTTCTTCGAAGCCTAAAGGATCAGCACAATTAATTAATTTATTAGAGAGGTTTGCTCATACAAACCATAAGTTCAATGGATTATCAGTGAGCTCTAGCTAGGCCAAGTGTTGGCACCTAGAATTCTTTATTATTTGAGATTGTTGTGCTACCAAAAGCCACATAAGTAGTAGATATTGCAGGATGTTTGTTGAGATAAACAATGCATTTCTTATCCTCACACCATAAGTGACATAAATTAGAATTTCCTCTTGATTCAATGATATTATGAAGAGACCCTAAAGGTAAAATGTATGTCGTTTCTCTGAAGACTAGTTATTCAAGTATCTAAAAGTTATTGCAAATTCCTATTTTAACAACTCTAGCTTGCTATTTAAGTTTTGGCACTAAATGCAACTATTGGTACTCCTCTATGTTTCTTCGCATGTTGCTTCTTATTATTTTCTTTGTCATGCTATCTTTGAGGTATTATATCCTGCTTCCTTGGACAAATTCCACAAGGCTTTATTTTTGCTTTAAAAAAAAGGCTCTAAATGACTAATTGGAATCATTACTTGGAAGAAAGAACTATAAATGAATAACTAATAATAATAAATCATAATAACAAACTAGCTCACTACAACCTCATAGCATTCTATTATTTGCATATCTTATCAAATAGTCTAATGAATCACAAGAAAGTAATAACTAATCATTCTATATATGCTTACTATTATGCAATACAAGCATTTTAAAATAAGAGATTTTGAGTAGTCATTTAATGAAAATATGAGAGATTAAAAGAAAATATTTTGATGATAGTATACATCATTATTCAAAACCCATAAGAAAGATGATCATAAGAAAATAATGATATTTTGTCACAAAAAGGTATCTAAATGAAGTGAAATGTTATATATTATGAATTGATCCACTTAATAATTAAGGATGAGAAATTTATAACATAATATTATTAAATACATAAGTAACTAACACCAACAATTCACTTTAAATTTATCGTTCTTTCTGTCCATATCCAAGCATTCAAGTTATTCATTTCACACTAGTCTTCAACCTCCTTGGCTTAAATTTCTCTCATAACATCTGCAAATTTATTGAGATTCTTAAAGGATGACCCTCCTTCCATCACACTTATGTTAGAAAAATTCTTCAAAGCCTGAGATCTTGCAAGAATATCTCTATCTTTTAGTAGCTCTTCCACTTTTGATCGAACTTCCTCTTTAGAAATTAGCCCATTTTCATCAGGAACCAAACTCAAACCTACCTTCCAAACCTTTGTTATGTAGCTTTGGTTAAACAATTGGTCAACAAAGTAAGGCCAACACAGGAAAGGTACTCCATTTCTCACTCCTTCTATGGTTGAGTTCCAACCACAATGTGATATGAAACAAGCAATTGCAGGATGCTTTAGAACCTTTTGTTGAGGTGACCAACCAACGATTCTCCCTCGATCTGCAACTCTTTCTTCAAAGCCCGAGGGATAGGTGCAACTAATGGATTTATTGGTCATGTCTGGCCTTACCACCCATAAGAATGGCCGACCAATGAGCTCTAAGCCAAGTGCTAGCTCTTGGAATTGCTTGTTATTAAAGATTGTGATGCTACCAAAAGCAACATAAATGACAGAATTTGCAGGATGCTTGTTGAGCCAAGAAATGCATTGCTTATCCTCAGACCAAAAGTAACATAAATTAGGATCTCTTATTGATTCAAAGCTATTATGAAGTGGCCCTACAGGTAAAATGTAGGGCATTTCCTTGAAGACTGGCTTTTCAAGCATCTCAAAACTATTGCAGATTATCATCTCAGCGTAGGAAGTTGCTTGGTTATTGGCTATCATGTAGTTGAACATTATCTTTTGTGTATATTCATCATGAAGGAAATACCAAGGAAGGTTGCTTGTGTCCGTGGGAGTCATCCCTGGGTTCAACTGAATAACTTCCTTCTTCATTGGTGTCCCTAAATTTTTTACGCCAAAAATAATTTCATAAATTCAAAATAATATAAATTCTCACAAATCAAAATATTTTGTTATACTAAAATCAGATAATCAAATGTGGGTCAAATCATGTGAAGAAGAAATGGATCGTATAAAAAGAAATAAATTTTCTCAAGAGCTCAAAATAATCATGTTTGAACCAGGGAAAGAGATTTTAAATATAAATATTTTTGTTGTAATTGTTTAAAATGTTTAGAAAAATGGCACTAAATTCAAATTTATTGCATGAAAAAAAAGTTAAATTATATTTTATTTTGTATATATCATTCTAAGTTATCTAGCTAACTTTTCTCAACTGCAATGAATAAACATTTTTGTCAAAGGTATGAAAACAATAGAACTTCCTACAATTACTTGGAGAACTTCTTCTTCTTCTTCTTTGATGATAGAGAATTTTTTCATGAACCTAAAGGTTTTAATTAAACTGTGATCATCGTTCCATCTATGTCATCAAGTGTGCAGTTTAATTGTACCACTAATATGTTATATCTAACACAGTTAACCCTTAAGATCTTACCGTTTTCGTCGATGACTCCATCTTGAATAAGCTTGGGGATACTAAGTAAGGTGACAAGGACTCCTGCTGCAGCAGGCCAAATGGCAGCCGTCCGAAGCCCTGCGTTCTTGGCGATAGTGATAGCCCAAGCCATATTGATATCTGCAATGAAGCAAGTGAACTTCACAGCTTTATTTCTCATCAATTCTTCTAAAAAACTTGGCATCACTGTGGTCAAGGATGTTGTAAGCCTCCCAAAGTTGTGGCGATCCTCTTCAGGTTCAAGGCCATCTGGGATCGTTACAAAATGAATTCCATCTATAAATTTAGCTTCATCAAGAATAGAGCCAACAGAAATACGCTCATGATTGAACTCTGTGTTGATAAAAGTTATTTGGAAGCCACGTTCGATGAGGCAGTAAGAGAGCTCCATGAGAGGAATGACATGGCCCTGTGCAGGATAAGGGAGTATGAGTGCATGAGGGGAGCTCATGGTTGCTGTTGAAGAACAAGTGAAACCTTAAGTTGAAGCTTATTGAAATGCCAATGGATGGTACGTACACTTGAAGGCCTCATATATATGGTACTTGCCTCATTGAATGGACAAATTATTATGTGTGGATTCGGAAAGTTATCCTGAAGTCAATAAAAATGCGTCACGTCATCCCAAAAGTGTACTGCCTTCGGTACCAAGCATGGTATCGAGCTGTGCCAAGCCTCAATATCGCTTGGTACCGAGCTCGATACCGAGCGGAACCGGACGGTTCTCCGTCTGATGTCCGCACAAAATAATCTCTCCATTAAATGATGATTTTTCACTCACTCACTCTCTTTTTTTTGTGTTCTTACGGGAAATGTTATGTTCCGTACGAGGAAATTAATTAAATATATGAGGTCAGTAAAGACCAACCATGTGAAAGACAGTTGTAAGAAAAAGGCATTGAATTGTAATAACTGCACATTGTTTCTGATAGAGTTGTTAATAAATGATTCGATCTGAATTTTATCAGAAAATTTTGGATTTAGGATTAAACCGATTAATAATTGGTATAATTCTTTTCTTTTTTATCAATTAATCTAAAATTTATGATTAAATAACTAATAAAAATTTTTTTAATTAAAATGTATTATTAGGACAGGTTCGAGTTGCTCGCATGTTGGGCTTGAGTTCTATTTTTTGGCTTATTTTTTGAATAGGTCGAGTTCAATTTATCAGATTCTGATCAGATATGAACCAACCCATTAACTCATTTTAACACTCCTAGTTTCTGAGCAAGACTTTTGATGGACTTGTTAGCTTGCCATATGTGTTATTTTTAATTTATAGTTTTTAGGCTTGCAAGACTAAATCACAAACTAATAATCTTTTTTTTAACACTAATTAAAAATCATTAGAAGCTAATTACTCTTACTAATTAATCTTATGTATTGCAAACTAAACAAATGACTATTAGATTCAGATTCTAATGAGACATCTCCCTCTCTGAGATCAGGCTCTTGTTGCTGCTGTTGGGCGGAGTTTTTTTAATTCATTTGATTATTTTGTGAGATTTGCCTGATCTCCTTTTTTTGCTTCTTTTTGTCCTGTAGTTCCGACCTCCTCTTTCCATTTTTTTCGTCTATATTATCACAGGTTTTGTTATTTTGGCTTCTTCTCACGGGTTGTCTTTTTGGGAAACTTCTGTCTAGCGGTGTAAATGAGTCGAGTTGAGTCGAGTTTGTGCTTTATTAAGCTCGGCTTGTTAGTGGGAAAGTGAGCTCAAACTCGAGCTCGACAGCCAAGCTCGAATTAGAGCTCTTCACACTGTAAACGAGCTCGAGCCGGCTCGCCCATGGGCGGGAATTTTAAATTTTAGGCGGATTTTTTAAAACTTAGGCGGGGTTTTTAGACTTAAGAGGGATTTTTAAAACAAAAAAAAAAAAAAAAATCTTCAAGCTATCCTTATGCAATAGCCTTCAACCTCATTGAATAAAATTCCAATAAAAATTAGCAAATTTACTAAAAGATGATGACCCTCCTCTGTTCAGGACAGTATTGTGAGCAATTCTCTTCAAAGTCTGAGATCTTATTATAATATCTCTATATTTGAGCAACTCCTCTACTTTTGATCCAACCTCCTCTTTGAAAATTAGCCTACTCTCATCAAGAACCAAACTTAAAACTGTCTTTCAAATATTTGGTATGTAACTTTAGTTAAATAATTTGTTAACAAATTAAGGCAAATAAAGGAAATGCATTTCATTTCTTACTTCTATGATTGAGTTCCAACCACAATGCGATATGAAACAAATAATTACAAAATTAACCTTATGTTGATGTGTCCAATCAACTAGTCTCCCTCAATTTACATTTCTTTCTTCGAAGCCTGAAGGATCGGTGCAATTAATGGATTTATCAGTGAGCTCTAGGCCAAGTGTTAGCTCCTAGAATTGCGTGTTATTGAAGATTGTGGTGCTACCAAAAGCCGCATAAATAATAGATCTTGCGGGATCTTTGTTGAGACAAACAATGCATTTGTTATTCTCTGAGCAAACATAAATTAGAATCTCTTTTTTATTCAAAAAAATTATGAAGAGACCCTACAAAAAAAATACATGCCATTTCTCTGAAGACTGGTTATTCAAGCATGTGAAAGTTATCGAAAATTATTTTTTCAGCATTAAAGTTGCTTGGTTGTTGGTGATGAGTAGTTGAAAGTTATTTTTTGTGCCTATCAATCATTAAAACAAATTCATGGCAAGTAGGTTATGTCCATGAATGATGTCCTTGGGCTTAGCTGGATACCTTCCTTCTTTAGGCAAAATTTTTAAAAGGAGCAAAGTTGATAAGTCTTTTAGGAATGGGAGCATGATAATGATTAAATTTAAAAAGAAGCAGAAATGCGAAGAGCTATCACGTTTTCTTCAGAAAGAAGAAAACGCAATGCAGCTTTGCATTTTCTGAAGAAAATGCAAAGCAGCTTTGCATTTTCTTTAGAAAATGCAAACCTGCATTGCGTTTTCTATACGAAACGCAATTGATGTGTGCGCTTTGTAGGAAAATTCTTCCATTCCGTTTTCTTCCTAATATCAAATGTTTAGGGTACGTTAATTAAAAAAAAAATTTAGAGGACCGGATTGTGTCCGTTAACAATCAAAGAATTATAATTTAAAATAAGTTTTGGTTAAAAATCAATTATTCACTTTGGTAATTTCAATTATATTTAAAAAATTGTTTATTAGATTTATTTGAAGTTTTAAATTTAATTGAAGATTGGATTTAAATTTTTAATCAATATTTAAATTGCTTGCTCAATTAAATTGATTTAAAAGTTTGAAGTGTTTGTTTTGATAATTTAGATCTTTAGTTTTGAATGTATTTTACAATTATTTAAACTAAATCGGTTTGTTTATTGAATTGATTCAAGTTTTAATTTTAAGCCTATTTTAAAGTACTCAATTTATTTATATTATAAATTAGATTTAGTTGCCCAATGTTTCGGCGTATTCCTACTATACCCGATTTTATGAAATCAGTGCATTGGCAGGTATACTCTATAATTGAAAACTTAATTTAATTATTTAAAAATAAATAAATTAAAATATTTCAGTTAACTATTAAATAAATTATTAAAATTAATAAATAATTAAAATAAGTTATTAATTTTATAATAAATTAATTATTAATTTAGTAACTTTTTATATTATTTTAAAACACTTCAAAATAAATTATTGAAGTTATTAGTAAATTATTTATTATATTAATTTTTCAAATTATTTATTTTCATAAAATTTTAAATCCGCCGGAAACTCTGCAGGAAAAAATCAGCCAGAAAATCTGTCGGAAATTCTGTCGAAAAAATCAGTCGGAAAAATTTGACCTTTATCCGTCGGAAATGCGCCAGAAAAACCGCCGGAAACAATTCCGCCGGAACTCCGCCAGAAAATTCCGTCGGTAATAGGCAGTTTTCCTGTAGTGCTAGTTGTGAGTGACCATAATTCAACTACCAGAAGAGACACATCAATCCCCTACAAGCGGAAGGGCTCAGTGATACTACATGAGATACATCCCGTGCCCAAAATGTCAGTTACAACCAGAGGGATTCAACATGCAATGAAAGTAACAATGTATATGTATGTAAGTGAATGTCAACGTGCAATGCATTGCGCCCGCTACAGTTAATCATCAACATTTGACAAAAGTGTTGTTAAAGATTAATGCAAAGTTTGATGATCCAAACTTACAATTATAAGAATGAAAATACACTTACTGTTCCAATCATCCATCAAAATAAAATATTAAACACTCATAACACAATTAATAGTTTATATGCTTTACTTTGCATGTAATATCAACTTTCAATTTTTTATGAGAATCTTTTTGGCCAAATTTGATTTTATTGGAAGAATCGTAATAACAAAATAAGAAAAACATAAAAAGTCACTGTCCGTGATGAACTCATGAGAGTTATAGACAAATTTGATGAGGACAACATAAGGCATTGTAAGTTCGAGCCCGATCCTCCTATATGAATATATAGGAGCTAGGGTCGGCACGGCTCGAATTATCAAACAGATAAACGGTCAAAGTGTCTAACTGAATATCTATTTTATACGTTCATATAAGACCTTCAAGGCCTATGAACATAGAAATTCATCAACAAAGACATAAAGCATACGAAACTCCTTCCTCTGTTGATTGTTCGACATAGTCGACAAGGTTCAATCCACAAATGGAAATGACCCCAAATGGAAATTTGCAAGATATCATGTTTAAATCCTACATAAATCCTGTATCAAAATAGCCCATTAAGGTGTTTTTTAAGTATTTTCATTCTTTTTTAAAATAACAATTATCCATTTTGCCGCTCATTACAGCTAGAACTGATCTTCACACTTATGCAATATCCAACAAAAATAAAAATAATTTCACTTTCATACATTAAAAAAAAATAAAAAAGTGATTTGACTAGTATGGAGTCATTTTTAGTTTAGTATTTTTTTTTTAAAATCAAGTTTGCTTTATTTCTTATCTTTAATAATAAATACTTTAAACGATTTAAAGATGTTCAACGTATTTTTAAAGACAACTATCACAACCGGCCAGTCGTCACCACCATCATTGTCAATGGCGACCATCGCCTATACCATGCCGGGAGAACACTCTAAGTCTAGGAAGGAAGTTCTATTATTGTTTTCTTTAGCTTTTAATAAAACTTCTTATTCATTGCAATTTAGAAGTGCAAGACAAGAGGGAAAACATTGATAGTCATTTGATCTAAAATAAAAGATAAAAAAATCTTATCATGCCATAAATGCTAAGTTTGAATTTCATTTTGTGGCACATATTAAGCAATTATATTATAATTTTTAAATAAATATAGTATAGTTGGATCTCTTTTCTTAATTCAACAGTGAATGTCTAACACTCTTAATAAATTTAATTATTTTTTTATGTGCCAAAATTTTCCTTCACTCAATATAATTCACTTTTTTTTTTTTCAATTTCATTGCCATTAGGTATTTTGGTTTATGTCAATTTATATTGATTTGAAAGGATGGGTATTTCCAATTAATTATTTAGGTAAACTAATAAAGAAGGATGGTATCAAGCTAAGCCCAAAGACGTTATTGTTGGACATAACCTACTTGCCATGAAATTGTTTTAATGATTGATATACCACAAACAATAACATTCAACTACTTCATCACCAACAGCCAAGCAACTTTAATGCTGAGATAATAATTTGCATACCAGATGTTTGAAAGACAGCTTTAAGTTTGGTTCCTGATGAGAGTTGGTTAATTTTCAAAGAGGAGGTTGGATCAAAAGTAGAGGAGTTGCTCAAATATGGAGATAATATCGTAAGATTTCAGACTTCGAAGAGGATTGCTCACAGTTCTGCCCTAAAAAGAGGGTCATCTTTTAATAAATTTGCAAATTTTTTAACTGGAATTTTATTCAAGGAGGTCGAAGACTATTACATAAGAATAGCTTGAAGAAAAATTGGAGAGAGAGAGAGGGAGAAATGTGACTAAGGCTTCAACAAAAAATATATTTTATAATACATATAAAAAGCTAGAGACGAATCATCTAGTGCACTATGTTAGGCAGATGTAGATTAGTTGGTTCTTCTTTTTTTTTTCTCATACCTTACAATGTGACAGAAGCTTCCCAAAAAGAAAACCGAAGAGAAGAAGCCAAAATAACAAAACCTATGACAAGATATAAGAAAATAATGGGAAGAGGAGGTGGGAACTGCAATAAAAAGAGAAGCAAATAAAAATGAGATCAAGCAAATCTTACAAAATAATCAAATGAATAAAAAAAAAGTCTGGCCAACAGCAGCAACAAGAGCCTCTAGAGGAGCAATTATTACGTCCGGTGAAATCCGAACGTATCCGAATGTATACTGAGCAATACCGAGTTTTAGGTGATGTGGCGCGTGGTTATTGGTCTATGAACGCATTCGGTGACCGGACGTAATAATTGCTCCTCTCAAAGAGGGAGACATGTCTCATTAGAACTGTGATGTCTCTATGAACGCATGTCTCATTAGTCGCCACACTTCCATTTGACAATTATTATTTTTTGTTTGTTTTTAGAAATTTCTATGATGAAAAGCTTAGTTACATAATCATATATATTAAACTGTTTTAGTTTCAAAAATACTATTATCTATTTTATTAAAAAAAATTATAATAATTACAATAATTTTAAAAACAAATTTCTCTTAATAGTTTTATAATTTCCTTTATGAGAAATTGCAAAAACCCTTAGTAAACTCTATCCCTAATTTTTTCGAAATGAACCCACCAGAATTGAGCTTTTTTTATTTGGTTTGAATTTAAGTTAGTTCAAAACTATAAATTAAAAATAACATATATGGCAAGCTAACAAGTCCATCGAAAAGTCTCGCTTAGAAACTAGGGGTGTTAAAATGGGTGAACGGATTGATTCATATATGACTTGAATCCGATAAATTGAACTCGACCTGATTAAAAAATGAGCAAAAAAAATTGAACTTGAACCCAACATGCGAGCAACTCGAACCTGACCTAATAAATAATCCATTTTAATTAAAAATATTTTTATTGGTTAATTCTAACCTAATAATTCATTTTAATTAAAAAAATATTTTTATTGGTTAATTAATCATAAATTTTAAATTAATTGATAAAAAAGAAAAGGATTGTACCAATAAATAGAAGAAAAAAATAAATAAACGGGTCAATTTCAAGTTGAAATTGAGTATATGAATCAACCGAAACTCGACCCATTTATTAAACCATTTAATCCAAACCCAAAATTTTCTGATCAAACTTAAAGTGTATCATTTATTAACACCTCTATTAGAAATAATGTGCAGTTAGTACAATTCAATGCCTTTCGTTACAAATGTCTTTCACATGGTTGATCTTTATTGACCTCATATATTTAATTAATTTAATTCTTCATACGAAAAATATCATTTCCCTTAAAAACAGAGAGAGAGAGAGAGAGAGAGAGAGAGAGAGAGAAATCATCATTCAATGAGGCTATAGTATAACAAATATGAGGCCTTCAAATGTACCATCCATTGGCATTTCAATAAGCTTCAACTTAAGGTTTCACTTGTTCTTCAACAGCAGCCATGAGCTCCCCTCATGCACTCATACTCCCTTATCCTGCACAGGGCCATGTCATTCCTCTCATGGAGCTCTCTTACTGCCTCATCGAACGTGGCTTCCGCATAACTTTTATCAACACAGAGTTCAATCATGAACGTATTTTTGCTGGTTCAATGCTTGATGAAGCTAAATTTATTGATGGAATTCATTTTGTGACAATCCCAGATGGCCTTGAACCAGAAGAGGATCGCCACAACTTTGGGAGGCTTACAACATCCTTGACCACAGTGATGCCAAGTTTTTTAGAAGAATTGATGAGAAATAAAGCTGTGAAGTTCACTTGCTTTATTGCAGATTTCAATATGGCTTGGGCTCTCACTATCGCCAAGAACGTGGGGCTTCGGACGGCTGTCGTTTGGCCTGCTGCAGCTGGAGTCCTTGTCACCATACTTAGTATCCCCAAGCTTATTCAAGATGGAGTCATCGACGAAAACGGTAAGATCTTAAGGGTTAACTGTGTTAGATATAACATATTAGTGGTACAATTAAACTGCACATTTGATGACATAGATGGAACGATGATCACAGTTTAATTAAAACCTTTAGGTTCATGAAAAAATTCTCTATCATCAAAGAAGAAGAAGAAGAAGTTCTCCAAGTAATTGTAGGAAGTTCTATTGTTTTCATACCTTTAACAAAACCGTTTATTCATTGCAGTTGAGAAAAGCTACATAACTTAGAAAAGTTGGTAGTCATCTGATCCAAAATAAAATATAATTGAACTTTTTTCCATGCAATAAATATGAATTTTAATGACATTTTTCTGAACATATTAAACAATTGCAAAAAAAATATTTATATTTAAAATCTCTTTCCCTGATACAAAAATGATTATTTTGACCTCTTGAGAAAATTTCTTTCTTTTTATACAGTCCATTTCATCTTCACACGATTTGACCCACATTTGATTATTTGATTTTGACCCACATTTGATTATTTGATTTTAGTATAACAAAATATTTTGATTTATGTGAATTTATGTTAATTTGAATTTATGAATTTATTTTTGGAGAAAAAAATTTAGGAGTGCCAATGAAGAAGGAAGTTATCCAGTTGAATCCAGGGATGACTCCAATGGACACAAGCAACCTCCTTTGGTGTTGCATTAATGATGAATATACACAAAAGATAGTGTTCAACTACATAATAGTCAATAACCAAGCAACTTCCAATGCTGAGATGATAATCTGTAATAGCTTTGAGATGCTTGAAAAGCCAGTCTTTAAGGAAATGCCCTACATTTTACCTGTAGGGCCACTTCATAATAGCTTTGAATCAATAAGAGATCCTAATTTATGTCACTTTTGGTCTGAGGATAAGCAATGCATTGCTTGGCTCAACAAGCATCCTGCAAATTCTGTCATTTATGTGGCTTTTGGTAGCATAACAATCTTCAATAACAAGCAATTCCAAGAGCTAGCACTTGGCTTAGAGCTTATCGGTCAGCCATTCTTATGGGTGGTAAGGCCAGACATGACTAATAAATCCAGTAGTTGCACCTATCCCTCAAGCTTTGAAGAAAGAGTTGCAGATCGAGGGAGAATGATTGGTTGGTCTCCACAACAAAAGGTTCTTAAACATCCTGCAATTGCTTGTTTCATATCACATTGTGGTTGGAACTCAACCCTAGAAGGTGTGAGAAATGGAGTACCTTTTCTCTGTTGGCCTTACTTTGCAGACCAATTGTTTAACCAAAGCTATATAACAAAGGTTTGGAAGATAGGTTTGAGTTTGGTTCCTGATAAAAATGGGCTAATTTCTAAAGAGGAAGTTCGATCAAAAGTGGAAGAGCTGCTAAAAGATAGAGATATTCTGGCAAGATCTCAAGCTTTGAAGAATTTTTCTGACATAAGTGTGATGGAAGGAGGATCATCCTTTAATAATCTCAATAAGTTTGCAGATTTTATAAGAGAAATTTAAGACAAGGAGGTTGAAGACTAGTGTAAAATGAATAACTTGAATGCTTGGATATGGAAAGAAAGGACGTTAAATTTGGAGTGAAGTGTTGGAGTTAGTTACTTATGTATTTAATAATGTTCTCTCATCCTTAATTATTAAGTGGATCATTTCATAATATATAACAATATCACATCATTTGGATATTTTTTGTGACAAAATATCATTATTTTCTTATGATCATCTTTCTTATGTGTTTCGAATAATGATGTATACTATCATCACAATATTTTATTTTATCTCTGACATTTTCATTAAATGACTACTCAAAATCTTATATTTTAAAATTCTTGTATTCAATAATAGTAAGCATCTATATAATGATTAGTTATTACTTTCTTGTAATTCATTAGACTATTTGATAAGATATGCAAATAATAGAATGCTTCTATGAAGTTGTAGTGAGCTAGTTTGTCATTATGATTTATTATTGTTAGTTATTCATTTATGGTTCTTCTTCCAAGTAATGATTGCAATTAGTCATTGAGAGCCTTCTTTTAGCAAAAATGAAGCCCTGTGAAATTTGTCCAAGGAAGCAGGATATAATCCCTCAAAGATAGCATGACAAAGAAAGCAATAAGAAGCAACATGCGAAAACATAAAGGAGCACCAATAGTTGCATTTAGTGCTAAACCTTAAATAACAAGCTAGAGTAGTATACCAACATTAAAATAATACTATAGTTGCAGATCACAGAAATGACATGCGTCGTAAATAAAATAATGCAAGCAACATATTGAGTCACCATTCCCAATTTCATTATACAATAGTAATATAAACCTCACATGTTTTCTAGGAGGGAACAAAAGATACATTAACGCCTAGTTGATTCTCATAAAATTTATGAAAATCATCATTGGCTACAAATATTAATAAAACTCAACAATCACTATGATGTCAAAACGGTAATCCTAACATAAGAACACATGGTCAAAATATTTCCAACCATGTCATATATATAAACTTTTAATCTGGTGTGGGATCCAAAAATTTGCACCCCGTCCTCATGTGCTTTTGAGGAGTTCTAATGAATTAAGTTATAGGGTAAATTTTTAAAAGGCAGATTGGGGTTGTAAATAAGAAAGAAATAACCATTAGTAACTTAATAATGAGAAGACAAAAAGAAACAGGACACTCAAAGAAAGGATATTTACAAGTTTCAGAATTAGAACTACATAGTACACAATTTTGATTAACACTATGGCTTCTTTTATTTATAATATCTTTAGTCTCAAACACCCATGTTTGTATTTACCAAGCAAAAGTATAATATTTGAAGGAACAACGTTTAAACTAAGGAAGATTTTTTCAACTTACTAAGGGAGGTTGACACTGAAGAGATTGGTAAACTTATTTTTGGGAAAACCTTTTTCCCCATCTTTCCAAAATTAATAGAAGAGTCACCAGTTGGAGTAGGATGAATCTTGGATATGACATAATTAATTAATATATTAGCATTAGTAGGTAAGCATGATATAACCTTTGAAATAAAATCTCTAAAGATTGCATAATGTGGGAAATAGAGCCATAAGACAGTAATATCACTCATTCATAAAGAGAGGTGCTAGAGATCCAAGAATTATAGAAGAAAGAAAAATAGCTCCTAGTATTAATTTAAAATGAGATCCCCCTTTTAATTTAAAAATATATATTATTTATGAATTTCTAGAGGGTTGAAGCTTGAGGTTAGAGTTTTTCCATCATGAGCCATAAAAATCGAAGTACTCTCAGAAAAAAGAAGAATTTGAGTTATAATTATTATATCATCCTAGACTTACACATTATGATGAGAGAATTGCTGACCTCATTTCTGTATGAGGTCACTATGACATATTTGGATTTATTTCTGATGACCAAATGATTAGAGATGTTTACTTCTCAATCATATAAGTCTCAGTCAAAATCACATCCAATCCTAATCAAATCTAAATCCACTTTTCAATTCAATCTCTGGTCTAGCCTTCCACCAACTTCCAATCAACTTTCAAATCATCTCCAATCAATATCAACTACTCATTTGGTTATCATTAAGATGAATAATTCAAATTCAACTATCCAAGCCAAAATCTAATCCAAACCCAAAATTCCTAAGTCCGGATCCAATGCCAAAAGCCTAAGTCCTGAAACCCTTTATGGGTGAATTTTCTATCACCAAGAAGCCCAGTCAAATGACATTCAATTCATGATTTGTCAATTGAATATAATTTATACATATTTCTAAGATCAACGCACCAAATTTGAACTCATTCTGAGGTCCCTAGCCCTAGAAACTAGATTGATTTTCAAAGGCTGTAAAAGCTTTAAATATTTATGGCCTATTCCATTAGACTTGTCATTCAGTGGAATTTGGCCTTTGGACTCTTTCCAAACCTTCTAACCACATCCATGACCTTTTTTATGACTTATTGGTTAGTAACCTACACTTTGGTGGACCCAGTTTGACCATTAGTTGATAAAGGGCCAAAATGACCAAAATGTCCTTTAAAGTGGTTTATGGTCTTTTCCCCAAAATTCAACATGGCCTTCCTATATCAATCTTTAAAACCTACCCCAATTGATCCTAAATATCATTAGGAACACATTGGAGCCAAACCCACCCTTCAATTTGGTTTGAACTGGTTGACCAAGTTAACTATGGTTGACCAAAGTGACCCTTAAGGGTTTAAACACCCATTTCAAACTAAATGCGCTCCCCTTGACTTGGGACCTCCCCCATTGAGTTCATATGACCAATTTTAACTAAATGGATCCCATCCTAGACCCTAGGTCAACTTAGTTGACCAAGTCAACCAAATTTGACCAAATCTCCCATACACTTCCACCCTCTTAAATCACTTGACCAAGACTTCTCCAAACCCTTTCAAAATCATGGAATGATCCATTGGGTCTTTAAGAGACCCCTCTTGAAGATCTAAGAATTGGGCCCACTTGTGTTAGCTATTTGGCTTGACCTAGGTGTCCAAAGAGAGGTTCCCCTTGAGCAACAAATCCCATCCTAAGCCAAATTGGATTAAACCCATGGTGGCATTGGGTCTCTCATGACCCAACACACCTTCCCTAGTTGACTTAGCCCTTGGGTCAACTTGGGTTAGGAATTAGGCTAGCCCAAAGTGGTCAAAACCACTATGGGTTGAGTCATTTCTCAACCTTAGGCCCCATCAACTCAATTCAACACTAACATTGGCTTAACCTAGACCCAAGGCACCCACCCTAGTCAGCCCCACCCTTGGGTTGACTTGGGTCAACCTCTAGGTTAGCCCAAAGTGGACAAAACTACTTTGACCTGAGCCATCTCCCACCTCAGACCATATCAAACCCAACTGATACTTGCATTGGGTGCCCCTTGACCCAATGCATCTTCTCCATCAATCCCATGACCTGACTCAACCCAGGTTGCACCCGACCTGACCCAAACCATATAGGATTGAATTAACTCAAGCCTACTTCCCCAATTGGCTTCCCCCAAACCCAATTGAGCTCACAACTGAGTTCAATATACCCCCAGCATCCTTTCCATTAATTATGAGCATAACTTAATGAATTAAAATTTGAGTTTTATAAGTCTTTCATTTTTTAGTATTTTGATTTAGGTTTGTTCTCTTTTCTTTTTTTATTCATTTTATAATTCCTGAATTTAGTTTTATTTTTAATAAATTGTATTCAGTTAAAATTCAATTAAGGGGTGATTAATATGTTAATTAGATTTAGTTCAATTCTATGTTCATATTTTGCCTTTTAATGATTATATATGTTAATTATGATTTAATTAAAAAAAATTAAGTGTTTTAATGCATTTTTTATTTAGATTATCATCAATTTTATTGATTAATTATTAATAAATTATAGCACACTAATCTTAGGATAATGTGTCATTAAGTTTTCTATATTTATATTTCTATTCTAAAGGGAGCATGCATCCTAAGTCTAAATTTTTTAAGACTTACTACTTAATTTTTGTCCTTAGTTGTCACTAGTGTTGTATAGAAGAAAGATATTATTTTTAACCCTTTGGACATCTACACATGTGTGTAAATGAGTTTAGGGATCTATAGTAAAATAAGAAAAGAAAATAACCTAAGAATAGAAGTTTCTACAAGGTCCTAGGGGTAGGGGAACGTGCACACATAAGGGCTCCCTAAAGGCTATCTTAGTTTTAAGGGAACTTACAACACCGGGGGATATGACCCGGTGGTTCTGCCCGTAGCACCCCCATCGAAATGAATGAGGACGACTGATGCTCATATCCGTTGGCTCCTTCGTCTATTGCTCCAAAAGCTCCAAATGTACCTCGCAGATAAAGGAAAAGAGAGAAATATGTGTTAGAAATTCATGTATTTGATTTCTTTAAAAATTAACATGTACATGAAATTCATAAATGATGCTTAAGAACGATCATACTTATAAACAACACATGAGAAATTAAAAGACATCGTTGTAACTTATCATGAATGATTGCACAATTTGAATCAGTTAACAAAAGAAATACTTACACAACTTCGATTTTATAAGAGATTCATTACACTTGAGATGAACTTTATAAAGAGACTTCCGCAATAACATAAATAACCTTTATATACAATGTTTCTAAATTTTTGAAATGAATGAAATAAATCATACTAAGAATAAACTTTAAAACATTTAAAGGTATATTATCGGGTACAAATTAATTTTACATTAAAAGAAATATCAATCATGGGTTTTATATTAATAAATTAATTTGCAAGATGCATGGGATGAATCTTTTAAAAAGAATCATACTAATCGATTCAATCTAATAGAACAAGTCAATTACTGATCGGATCTCTCAACCTTATTTATTAGCAAAGAAAATCATGAAATACTAAGGATATATATCAACATTAATTATTAGAATCAATTCTCAAATAAAAGAAGTCAACCTAAGAGAGGAAACTCGCCCAATATATGGTACGACCTACCATTTAAATATGTACTAGATCAGTGAACAAAGGTACACTAAAAATAATGGTTTTTGATGTACTCACAATTATACTGATTAACATACATTTAGTTAACTAGTGATTGTATAATCCCACATCCATATGAATCCAATATGATGGAGAAAAATAATCCAATCGAAAGTAACTTAGAATTCAAATATGAATGTATCTCCATATATATAAGTTTCGGTTTAACTAGTATTATCCATTATATGAAAATATTTTAAACGGATGAATCCAGATCACATAGCAACTGACATGATCCCCAGCACTTATTATTTGAATACTCTAGGCTTAGCTAAATATTATTTAGTCACCTGATATTGAGCAAGGTATCAAACATTTCTCATTGTTTTTTTTTTTTTTTAATATCTTTCAATAACAAGTTGATTCAGTTCACCTTAAATACAATTGATCTTATCATAAAAATAAAAATAAAAAGAAACCATGT